ATATATATATATATATATTCCATATTGATTTTATATGTAATTTTATATTGAATTTATATATTCCAATTGTTGAAGTTAAATTTAATTTATATTGAATTTATAATAATAATTATTTTAATTTTATTATTTAATTTTGAATATAGAAATTTCACATAATTTTTTTAAGAAAATAATTTTAAAAAAAATTGCAGTTATATATGAATTAATAGATCATTGAACTTTATTTTTTCTAAAATTTGACAAAAAAATATCATTTATATTTTTTTCGCAATAAATTTCAAACATTATTACAAATAATTTCAAATAATCTTCAACGTATAATCTTTCTAAGATGCATGCCACCTTATAACAAGATGTTAATGATTATTTAAACATAATATAATAAAATTTTATTTATAAAAATAAAATTTGGAGAATATTGAACATTCATAAAATTATTCCTTGGCCGCTATGATCCTCTGACTTAAATTCATTAAATTTTTTTTATAGAATTTATTTTAATCGAATTTGTATTAATTGAAAACATTAATATTAAAAAAAAATAAATTCTCATAGCATATCATCAGTGTTATAATAATAACAAGTATAAATTTACTTCATTGATTACAATTTTGGATTATAGTTTGAACATTTATTATAATTCCAGACATAAAAATATCATGATATCAAACAATTAAATTTGTTTTATTTATTTTATTTTATTATAGATGAACGATTAACATTTTCTATTTTAAAGATAATATTTTGAATATTTTGAATAATTTAATTGAAATGAAATAATTTTTTACGATAAGAGTTCCTTTGATCTCTTCATTCATTTGAAAGTTACATAGTACATCATTAAATTCATCTTAATATCAGTTACTATGAAATCAAAAATATTTAGTGCTAAAAAAAAAAAGTTAAGATGATTTTAATTTATTGAAAAAAAACATTTTTTTGAAATTTTTTTATTGTAATTTAATCGAAAAACTGATTAAATTTTATTCAAAATATTTTTTTGTTAGAAAAGTTAAAACAAAATGTGATGTATATTTTGTATAAATATATAGAAATAAAAATTAGCTCGAATAGATTCTGATTAATAATTTTTAATCAATAAAATTAATCAGATGTCGGAGTGATTATATATCTTGAATATATTTTTAAAGAACAAATACAAAAATAATAGGACAAGCATAGAAATAGAATAAAAATTTGGGAATCATAAACATAACATCATTAACATAACATCATTTCTTAAATATAACTAATATAAATAAAAGAGCAAATGATAAAAAAAGAATTAAAATAGAATAATAAAGTAGACTAAAAATTGAAGATCATTTCTTAATTAATGAAAATATTTTTTAAAAGATAACACCGGTTCTTAATTATTTCATGTTATTTGAATGAGATGTTTTTAGTATCTAAGAGATGGCACTGATGGTCAATTTTTATTTGTTTTTATCTTATTTTTAAATGTTTTTAGCAATCAAGAATTAGCGCTGATGATCAATTCCAACTCTATTTTGTTCTATTCGTTGCTCTTCTTATTTATGTTTGTTCGTGTAGATAACTCTGATTCCAGAATTTTTTAATTGATTTAAGTAATTTTTTAATGATTTAAGTAATTTGAAGAATGGAGATTCGAAACAATAAGAAAGACAGTATCTATACATTCCACTTATATTATCAATTTATTTTTTTATCACTTCACTTTAGTATTCTACTATGTATACGAAAAATGGTATCGAAATTTCCTATAATTATTAAAATTCTCACGTTTTGCTTTCAAGATTTATCAAGACTTTCAAGAGTTCTAAACTTTGAATTATATTCAAAATCAATTCAAATCTTTATAATCTTCGAATAAGACTTCGAATCGTTCCGAATAGTTGAGACGTCCATCATTTTCTAATCTATCTTTCGTCTATTATGCTTATACATATACAAGCATGTTTTCACGTAATAGAAAAAATTATGACTTTGATGTTATGGTTTTGTATAACATTTTCGTTAATGTGATGACACTATACATATCAAATTCAATTCAATTATGATATCGTTGATATTTGTTTAGTAGAACTAATAAAAATATTTAAAAATTTTCTAGGAAAAAATTTTGATATGAAAATTAGATTGCGCAATTAGATCGACTGAACAATTTTTGAATTATAATTTAAAATTAATATAAATTTGATAAAATTTTTTCCTTACTTAATCGTCCCAAAATATTCTATCATCATTGATATATCTCAAATATAAAATAATAATTTAGTTTATATTTTTAAAATGTTAAAATGAAAAAATTAAAATTATTCCTAAATTAACAACGAATATAAAGATTAATTTAGGAAGGATAATAAAGGAGGAAAGGAGGAAAAAAATATAAGAAATCGTAACTCCATGAAAGAATTGATCTATTTTGATAGCATTTCAAATTTAAGACAAAAAGAAAAGGTGATATTCTTATAATTAATAACAAACACGTTTTCAAATTACGAAGGAGGTTCACACATTCGATTTCCGCGTTTACACGCGAGGTTTTTGGTTTTCTTGATCACCTTTATTTTTCTCGTAAATGTCGTCTGCCTGTCTTTCTCTCTTCCCCCTCCATCTCTCCCCGCCCACCATTCTCTCCTCTTTGTCTATTTCTTGTCTAAATTATATATTCGCATTTGTAAAATACCTGTTGCCACTATCATTCTCGATATCAATTACGATTTAAAATAGGATCATCATCATCACGATATGTAATTAATAAATGATTTTTGCAACTATTTTTTTTATATCTTTATCCTTACTTTCAATATTCGTTAATGGTAATATAATGATACGTATAAAAAGAAAAAAAAAAAAGAGAAACAGATAGATTTAGACGGACATGTAATTATATATATATAAATAGAATGACAGACAGGCAG